GCGGGAAATCTGTGAGCTTCGGCTGCGAGTAGTCACTGAGTTTCTTCTGGGCCGTCATCTCTGATTCTGAATCTGAAGGAATATCTGTGTCACTAGAATCAGAGAGAGGATCTCTTCGACTGTTGTCCTCCTCAGAACCCGCCAGAATTTGTCTATAGATTTTCCTTTGCCTATGAAAAGAGCGCTCGATCTCAGGATCGAATGGTATGTAACCTGATCTGGAACACCTGGGCATAAACAAGGAACTAAAAGACAAATATGAGAATTGCCTCAAAGAACTAATGTTCTCTAAGACAAAAGGGGATAATCTAGACTACAAAAATAATCAGAAAATAAAAATAAAACCGTTTCCCCGGCAACGGCGCCAAATTTTGACAGGGTAAAGTCGTATCCCCTAATCAAAAGTAATTACCTAAGTCCTCTAACTAAAGTAGATAGGGAAGTAGGGTCAAACTCCACAGGGAAACAAGTCTTTCTACTCCTAATTAATTTTTATAATCTAAATTATCAAAGTAACCAATATTGTTGTAAATAAATTCTATACTACGAGGAATAAGATTGAAGGAAATAAAGTAGGGAGATATTAAATATTAAAAGACCTAGGGCATAGGTTCACTAATAAAAAATATTCCAGGGCAAATCATAATAAGCAATCATCAAGCATTGATTAATCAGATTATAAAGGGATTTCGCTACGTATTATAATCACAGAGTTAATTTACCGGTATTAAATCTCATCTGTCGAATCTCGACTTAACCATTTATAAATTAATCCGCCTATTGAAACTAAGCCTAAACATCAATTCTCATATGTCGAATCTCGAATTAATATTACTAAACTCATACAATTAAATCTGGCCAAACCTAATTGCATAGCATTAAATCAATCAATAGGAAATTAACCAAGCACTGATAATTAACTATCACAAAATTACCCCTTCATATCATTTATTAGATCCCCATAAATCCTAGAAATAAAACTACTCAAGCATCATCATAACTAAACTTATCAAATAAATAAAACAAGGCATAACAAAGAAGTAAATAAAATAACTGAAATTAAGAGAGAAGAAATTGTTACCAAAAGAAATCTGGATTAATGAAAGTAATTAAGAACAAAAGTTGAGAGAGAATTTAAGAGAGAGAAATATCCTAAGTAGAGAGAGAAAATCTAAAGAAGAAGGTAATTAGAATTTACGTACATTATTCGTACTTAAACCTTTCTCAAAACAAAAATTAAAACTAACCTAATCAGCTCTAAGAAAAACACGCGCTTAAGGCCGCCCGATCAGGCCCGCCTTTTTTTACAACGCCCTGCTGGTATGCCGCGCCCGATCGAGCTTACACTTACCCGATCGGGCGCGCCTCTTCCTTGAGGGTTCTTCTGCGCGCATCCGCCCGATCGGGCGTATGCTTGCCCGATCGGGCCCGGTCTTCTTCTTCGAGGCTTGGATTTTGATTGGGCTCAATTCCTCGGCCCAATCTGGATTTCCTCATCGGGTCTTGATTAATCGATCCAATAGCCCCGGTATCTCATACCGAGCCCTTAATCACCGGCTCTCACCGATCCTGGGCTTCAAGAGTGGTCGTGTCCTTCTAACTTCCGTAGTTGATCCATGAAAACCCGGGAAAATGCTCCAAAAGTGCAATTTCCTGTAAAACTCAACTAAAACTACGAAAACACTAGAAAACACAAATTAGTCATAAAAGTGGCTCTAAAGAGCCAAAAACACTACTAATTATGACCGTGGGACGGGGGTAAAACACTATATAAATTGGATATATCACCCCTCAGAATGTAATTTTGAAACTAATAAAGACCAATGATAATGTAATTGACGATAAATACTAATCAATTCCAATCCAACCAACTAACCAAAAACCTCAGCAGCTATTATATATAACACAAATCTATTAATAAGAACAAATTAATTACAATTTAAAAATCATTTTGTACATTTACGAGCAGAAACCAATATAATTATGCAATTTAATACAAGATTATAAGCATAACCAAAATCATAAGTAAACAAAGGACAACAATCAGTAGCCTTTAGCAATAACACAATTAAACAAACTACATAATATGTGTTTTTTATGGACTAACCCTACCAAACAACTAAGCTAAGCTACCCAGAAATGATATTGATTAGCTATATTAACAGCTAAGGTGCCTTGAATTAATCTTAATTGCCTTCACTAACCAACGTGTACAAGTCTTCAATCTGCCACCTCTTGAACCTGCAACCACATATTTGCCTCCATAACCTGCCAGCACATCAAGGAAGCTTGACTTTTTGTAAAGAAAAAAGCCTTAAGAAATCACGAGGGCAAAAACGGAAGGGAAGCATTCAGCAAGAACAAAAAAAATTATGGCAGGGGAAAAAACGTCCTAGCACTGTTCATAAGGATTTTGCTAAAAGTAAAAGTTCCTCAACCCAATTTGGCTTTTATAAGGGTTATGGATGTGTTCTTTTCCCATAACAACGGGTTGTCAACTCGGGTTGTATTTAAATCAGATTTGACCTGTATATCTATAATAATATTATTAAAACAAAGGGAACAACATGGTCCCGCCATGTGTCACCCTTCCCACAACATGACTAGGCGACACATGTGTGTGAGGTGGAATCCTACATGTCACGTCTTTCCCCAATATAAGTTGATTCCATCGGCATTAATTAAAACTCTATAACTTTTAAAAAAAATAAAAAATAAAAAAGAATCTTCATATGTATAACCTCCAAATTTAATTCTATAACTTTCATTCTCTATTATAATGTTTAATTTTCATCAAAAACTCTTCATATGCATAACCTCCAAATTTAAATTTGACATGCTTATTTTAAATATATTAATGAAAGATCATATAGATTATTATTTCGTATATATTTCATTCACTTATTAATAATCCGTATTGTTTAACATTAATCCTTTTTACTAATTTTGATCAAACTTAATTATAAATTTACTATTTATTAGGGCATCTAGTTTATGGGTTAAAAGAGTTTGGGTTAAATTGAGTTTTGTGTCATATATTTTTGTTCAAAAAATCAAAACCCATAATAAATGAATCCGCGTGTTCAGCTGGATTTTCGTCAGACCTTGTGAAATTGACAGACCTAATAGTGGTGTTTAAATTGAAAAACAATTATTTCATGTAATGAAGTTTACTACCCTTAAATTTTACGGAGTAGTTTTTTTTTTTTTTTTTTTTTTAATTTTTAACCTTGAAAGTCTCTTTTTATAATAAAAGAAGTCAAAGCGGTAAATATTATGCTTTAATTTAGATAACCTATCTCCGGTAAAGGCTACCCATACAATTGTTGTATGTGGTTCCTACATTCAACCACAATTTGTCATGTTTTTATTGGTTAAAATTATGGGTCCAAGTTCCATTTGAATTCAATTTATATTTGACTCCTAGTTTTCTTCCCTTTTTTATGATGTGTCAAATTTCTAATGATATAGTATGTAGGGATCAAAAACAATAATTGTATGTGTATCAACTCTAGGATTTGAGATTTTCTCTCACTAGTAGTCTTATAGATTTGAACACTCCATTAAATTATTTGCAATACATAGTTTTAAAGACTAGATTAATAGATTTTTGTATTGTTAATGTAATATAATAAATCATTGAACAATAAATCATTTGTAAGGTTTTGGTTCTTACATCAAAATTATTAAACAATAAATCATTCTCCCATCAAAGACAAAACCAAGAAGAAAAAAAAAATTAAAATATAGAAGATTGATGATATTGGTCTCTAATTTTTTTTTTTTTTTTTTTTTGACAAAGAGAACATACAAAAAAACTAAAACCGAAAACAACGTAATTCCATGCGCCTAGCAGCCCCAGCAAGAACATGAGCTTCTACAATTGAAGCCCTTGAGACTATGTGACACACCACAAATTAAAGGAGGATAAAACATGTCAAATTTCTTGCAAAACCCAGATAACAGAAATATCCTTAGCTTGAAGAACAGCGAGCAGCTGAAGATTAGCCATACAGTCCGTGAACAAAATAATCCGAGTAATCCCCTATTGAGAAGCATGCCTAAGCCCATACAGACAAGCTAATAACTCAGAATGGAGAGCTGAACTAGTAACACAAGCTCTAGCACCACCCCCAAAATACTGGGAAGAAGAGGAATCCCAGAAACACCAACATGTACAAGCATTATGATTTCCTTGCTCCCAGGCACCATCGAACATCATATAAATATCACATGTAGAATATAGATCGCTTCGAAGAACCTGAGACAATTGAGGGACCACAAAACCAGGAGGAATACCAACAGGTTAGCCCAGAAGCTCGCGAGCCCGCTTACTTCTATCACACCAATCATAAGCCAAATCAATGACAGACTGGGGGGAATAAACCGCCGATCGAAACCTGGCATTGTTCCTTGTCAACCAAATTGCCCAGCAAATTCCAAAAAAGAAGTACAAATTCAACCAGTCCTTGACCTTAGCATAATCAGAAATGATATTCGAAACCCAACTATGGAAAGGAACCGAAGATTCCAATCTAGGAAGATGGATACTGGAATTGTTGACCCAAAGGTTTCGAGAGAAAGGACATTCCCGAAACAAATGTTCTGTAGTTTTGCTAGAATGGCGGCAAAAAATGCAAGACGGATCAATACACTAGTAGAAAAAGTGCTATTTGTAACTGGCGAAATTGACTTTTTGTAACTGGCATTGTTGGTTGCGAATGCCACCGTTACAACTAGTGAATATTATTCGTAACCGGCTAATGTTAGTTACAAATAATGTACTATTCGTAACTGGCTTAACCTAACGTCAGTTACAAAAAGTCTATTTTCCAAGTTAAAAAATATACTATTCGTAACTGACATTAAGTTACGCCGGTTACAATTATGGTATTATTATTAACTAGCAAATATTAACGCCGGTTATGAATATAATAATTATTTTTTAAAAAAAAAAATTACTATTAGTAACTAGCATTAGATTACGTCAGTTACTATAAAATAAATAATTTTTTTATAATAAATATTTGATTCGAATACAAAATGGTAGTATATCCTACTAAATGGATTACAACCTGTTACAATTCAATCCAAAACAGCTAACTCCATGGTTTATAAGTCCAAAGATGCACACACTTACAAGTCTTATAAGTTACAAGCAAAGCCATAAATTTAGGGCCAAAAATTAATTAATCTAAATAAAAAAAATATTATCTCACGTTACCAATCCTAGGGACATGGATTTGGAAATCTTGAATGAACCTTGTTTATCTTAGCAACTACTTCAGCTGATAACTCAATACGAAATGCATTAACAATCTCCTGAAGCTGCCATATCTTGGTTGCTCCTAAAACAGCACTTGCTACAAGGGGGTGCTTCAAATAAAAGCTGCCAAACAGAAGTCAATACTTAAAAGAGATTTGTACGTCAGTATTTGCCATAAGTAGAAAATCTTACATCTAAGAATTAAAGTGATGGACTGACTAAAGTTACTGCATGCTATACAAATGTAGACCATCATAATTTCGTAACACCAGAAAGGAAAGGGGGAAATGAAAATGGGAGAAATGGCATACCAATTGCCAAAGAAACTGGGTGAAGGCCGTACTTTTCTGCTATATGAAGGTACTCCTGCAGTAAAAGTGAATACATTAACAACTCAAGTTGTCAGCACAAAAATGCCAAGGCTCCATAGCATGCATATCCAAGAAATACAAGTATTAAACATTTGACTGCCTTGTTCTCAGCACTGAGGTAGCTAAAAGTTCCAAGTACATCATATGATCTAACTAGTTGTTGTTGCATGTTGAGTTTAGAAATAGTAACCAACATAGAGCAAGAACATGTTATCAGATTAACAGGAGTTACAAGTCCTTCCAAAGCTGAAAAGAATATGCTAATTTTGTAGCAGCATTGGACAGGCTATACCTGGATTCCCCTTCTGAATATCTTCCTGCTTGCCAAAAGAGCAAAAATCAACATACAGATTACAGCATATAAATCAAGTCGCATGATGTCATATTTTAAAATTAGAATCTAAATACCTTTGAAAAGATTCAATCGAGCATCTGCAGGACCTCTATCATCTCCAAAGTATTTACCAAACAGTATGCCCATAGCCAAAGGACTGTAAGCTAACAAGAAGATGTTGCAAAGGGTTATACAGGAATATCACAGTTAAATTCAAGTGAAGCATTTAAATTAAAAGAACGAAAGGCCATATAGAAGTAGCAACCAAATTATATAACTGACATATTTAACTTATTAATAAAAGCTGAGAGAAAAACTGCAGCAAGACAATATGAAGCAAAGCTTACAAAAGATATTCTAAACGCAAAGAAGGGGTTTGATGAACAGCGCTCTTTAGATTTATGACATTACCGAAAATTAGGCAAACAACTTAATGTTAATAGTAACAATTAGTATTTAAGTACATTATTTTTACCACAAATCTATCAAAATTTTATAAAAAAGAGTATCCATCTCAGCCTTAAGCAACAAGAATCCATCTACTTCACAAGCACATAATTAATTCAAGATAGTATACCTCTCATGATGAAAGCACTCAGCCATTGTAGAATCAAAAGTGCAGCAGAGCAAGCTGTAGGAGTTCTGGTACACCAAGATTCACTGTTAGGAGTTTAGGACATATCTTCCATAGTTTTAGAGCAGCATTCAAAATTTATTGTTTATTAGACTACTCAATAGGATTATTATTATTATGTTTTAGGGACTGAAATAAATTATAGATGTTTCACCACAAAACATCAGAAAAGGGGCAGAAGACAATGGAACCCAACTTCCAAAATGCCTTGATGTTTCACCAGCATACAAATTTTTTGGTGAAGCTTAGTAGTCTTTAAAAAAAATCTGCAACAGGGCATTATCACCAGCATTCCAATTGTGCTGATAAAAGAGAGAAATATTCGGTGTTGACTAAGCAACAGAGAAGAATTTCCAAACTTGAAATATTCAGTGTTGACTAAGCAACAGAAAAGAATTTCCAAACTTTCATGGAACCAAACATAGTAGGGAAGCGGGTAGGGTAAGCCCTTTGGGCACCTAAGTAAATTGCCAAAAGAGCTTCAGAACAGCAGCCATGTGACCTATAATTGTAAATATACAACCTAATTACTAGAGATGCACAAATATTCAAGGCAATTTATCAAAGCTTAATTGTTATTTCCATATTCCATAAGCCAGACACTAGCAGCCCATAGTTTGAGATAAGCCCTGATTCAAACAACACATGATTTGATAGTAAAAGCAGGACCCTGACATAGAATAGAATCATGGACAATAATTAATGGATTTAAAGGAAAGTATTAACCTCTAAAAGACATGGAACTTTTAATTTTAACACTCCATATTTAGTAAGCGAATCTGGACTAAGATTTTAATTATAATCATTAACTTTGCTCTCAAACTCTAAGATATCGAACCTAAGGGCAAGTTGTAAGCTGATGCAAACATAATCAATATAATCAGCCAATTTAGACTAAGGTCAACCCAAATCAGATGCATTTAAAGTTAGCAAGAAGGTAATACTTCACAGCCAAGCAACATCTCTAACAACAACAAAATCACATGAAAGCAACAAAAGGCTCAAGTAACAATAGACCAATCTAACATATGAAACAACAATCTTACCCAAGCAACCAGATTCTGAAATAAAGCTCTGAATTTAGTTCTGAAATTCAGATCTGAGATTAGTTTTGAAATTCAGCTCTGAATTCAGTTCTGAAATTCAGCTCTGAATTTATTTATGAAATTAGCTCTAATTTTAGTTCTGATTTTCAGTTCTAAGCTTTAATTCTGAAATTCAGCTCTGAATTCATCTATGAAATTAGCTCTGATTTTAGTTCTGATTTTCAGTTCTGAGCTTTAGTTCTGAAATTCAGCTTTGATTTCAGTTCTGACTTTCCATTCTATATTTAGTTATGAAATTGACTATTGGAAGCATGCTCTAGCAATACACTATCATCAGATATAAAATGCTGCAGCCAATCTGTCTACAAATAACAAAAGAATGGATTCATGAATTTAGATTTGTTGACCCTCCTAAGACAACTCAACTAAGCTGTACGCTTATTAAATTAACCGAGTACATATTATTGCAGTTCAAGCTGGAGTTCTTAGTCAAAGATGTTGTGCCCTTGTCTTGGAAATAGGAGATATCTAGCTAATCATCTATTTACGCACACAATCACACACACACGCACAGAGTATGAGTATTTGATACCATGTTTTGTTCAACTCAACTAATTGTTTCTAGTCAGCAAGCTTTGCAAAAGGGTTCTGTTGGAAAGTTGGAAGAAATAACTTAAGAACAAATGAAAAGGAACAATAAATGCAGAAATAGATAGAAAGACAATAATTATAACTTCAACTCAAAAGGATTTGGAAATGTGTAGATGACCAGTAGTTCACTAGTTCAACACAGCCTATGAATCTATTATTTTTTATTTTATTATTGTATCAACTCTCTACTCTCTAGACCTTGAATGAAATTAGAAATTTATTTATACTAATGATAAAATCATGGACTTATTAACTAGCAAAGCAATTAAACAAGTGATAATAAAAAAAAAAATTATAAAAAAAGAAAAGAAAAAAAAGAGATCATAAACACAAGGTTACTCAATAAGCCAAGTAATTAAATCAGGGAGTTAATTTAGAATCAAGTAACTACTTATTCAATTCATGCCTTAAATTCTACATCATATTATCAATTTATTACTACTACAAGAAAAAATATAACTCCATATCACACAACAACCATCGGATAATGATGCCACTCGTGTAAAGTTTATGAGCAGCTCAATCAAGGGATCAATACATCAATTAAGCCATGCAAGTAAAAAAAAAAAAAAAAAGAGCTAATTAAACATGATAACCTAAAATCTTTAAACAAATTCAGTCACAACAATAATTAAGGTTCAAAAAATAAGGCCCGAGTGGGCAATGTTTTCACAACTGCTAATTGAAATCCTATATATATCTGGACAAAGATACTTCGCTACCTGCTAATTTGCTCGAGGGTCCACTTTGAGAGACAGAGAGTAACCCCTTATGCAACTTCCATATATTTGTATATATTTACCAGAACAAGGCAAATTTCTGCAAAATAAAAAAAAAAAAAAAAAGACATGTAATTAATTAAGATACATTCATATTTCAATACTTAGAAACACCAAAAACAGAACGATACTCAATGCATTAGCAGCCTCCAGGCTTATACCAAAACCATCCAATAACGCATAGCTAAAATAACCCAGAACCTAAACCTCAAATTTCTTTCTAATTAAGGTTGTAGATTCGACCACAGTAAGATTAATTTGGCAAAAATCATTTTGATTGACAATAAAAAAAAAAAAATGTAGTTCGAAAAAAAAGTGTAATTTGATTGAAAATGCTGAAATTTGATAGAATTAATTGCGCTACAAAATCGATTGAATAATTTGCCCTAAATTAGAACTTTGAAGTTTCTTTTAATCTACCTAAATTTCAAATCAAAATACTGAAATTCAAGGAATATATGATTGAATTATAACTACAATTTAATTGTATGATTCGAATGATGAATATATACTGCAATTATTTTAACAAATTCGAATCAAATTCCTACAGAAGAGGAATAATTCAAACTCACCTAGTAAGTGCAGTGGTGGCGCAACGGTGCAGCAGTGCGATGGTGCTTCGGTGGGTATGGCGGTGCGCCGGTGTGCCGATGACCATAGGCGTGCAACAGTGGGAGCGACGGTGGGTTCGGCGGTGCAGAGACCGACGGTTCTTTCAGAGTAAATGAGGTGAAACTATGAAAGTGAATATTAGAGTGGGATATTTTTCTCTTTCACGAATAGATTAAATTGAGGGTAAAGTGATTCTAAGATCTTAAAAAAAAAAAAAAAAAAAATACCATTAATTAATTGATTTTTTTTTTTTTAGGTAATAAACAGTAGAGAACGGTTATCATAGGAGATGGTTCTCTATTTATAAAGACATAAAATGCCCCCAGCAGAAATACGTTTTATATAATTGTAGAGAACGCCTGTCTTTGCTAACAGTTTTGTATTTTACGATTTTTATTCTAGGAGAATTGGGTTGTTCGGCAAGGGGAGAAAAGGGCAAAGTGGGCAAATCACTATTAATTAGGAACCTTAAATTTGGCATAGTAAGGGTGCATAGGGATTTTATATTGGTTAAAGAGGTTTTTATAGATTTCAACGAGAAATTCCCTTAAAAAATAATTTTCAATGAAAAATTGTTTCCTTTGTTTAAAAGAAAATGTTTCCAATAACTTAATATTTGTAACTGACATTTGTAAGTTAGTTACAAACTTTTTGGTCAAAGTTTCTTTGACTTAATATTTGTAACTGACGTTTGTAAGCTAGTTACAAACGTTTTGGTCAACGTTTCTTTGACTTAATATTTGTAACTGGCGTTTGTAAGCTAGTTACAAACTTTTTAGTCAAATTTTATTTGACTTAATATTTGTAACTGACATTTATTTAGTCAGTTACTAATAAAACTTCAAACAAAGATAAACCACATATTAGTAACTGACATTTACTACGCCGGTTACTAATGTCATGAAATTTGTAACTGGCATTATCTTAGTTGGTTACTATTGATGCTTTCGTAACTAGCATAATATACGCCAGTTACTAATAGGGCGTTACAAATAGCATTTTTTCTACTAGTGATAGGGAGACCCTTAAGAACAAGTGAAGTTGTCGTTGGAAGGACATTATGTAAAACAAAGACTTCTACCAAGTGTTGCTTTACTTTTATGTTTGTTTGTTGTCAGACCTTATTGTGTCTTACTTGCATAATAGCTCCCCTTTTAACCAACTTGATGCATTAAGAACTCGTGGTTAGGACCCACTTGTGCCCGCCTTGAAGTATCGGTCGTCACAAGCCCCGACCACTCGCACTCCGTCGCCCAAATAGACGTGAGTGCTCTTTTGGTTTAATTGCCCGCTTGTGTTGCTCTTCGCTCACAAGCCCCGACCTCTTCCGCTCAAAACTAGCGTTCTTGCTACCAAAAGGCTAGAGCGCGCCGCACATTTCGGGGTCCAAACTCCGGACCGTAACACCTATATTGAAAACAAAGAAAAACCATGTACAAAATCGCCAATTTAAAAAAAAGGGAACATCTTTTTAAAAGTTACTTTCACTATTGATTAAATAATTAATACCAAACCAACATGAAAATAAAGTCTCTGAAGTTAAACTCTTATTCAAGTTTTGGATTTTCTATAAAAGCCTAATGCATAACTTGTAAGCCTTTCATCTCTTGTATAAAAGTCTCTGAAGTAATTAATATTCGTTGCCTCAAAAACAATTATTGAATAATAGCTGCACAGCACAATGGGTACACTTTTTTTTTTTTTATTTGTTATTTTTTTGTTTTAATGTCCTTTATTTTATTCCATGTCATGTGATGCACATTTACAGATTTACTATTGTCATGTCAATAAAGAGTTAAATACATAGAATTCTGAGGCCTATTAAAGGGAGGTTTGATAGGTACCTGGACACATGGGTGTAGAATAGGGAGTGTAAAGTGCTCCCTAGCACAGGGCCCCGATTATTAGAGGGCCTAATTTTTTATTTTTATTTTCAATTCTTAATTAATTTATAACACTTTCATATTCTTCTATCAATTCAAATTAGTATTTTACAATTACATTAATTCCATTCCATGAAATTATAATGTATATTTTTGCATTCCAGAATTATCAACGTAAAAAAGTTAATTTCAGCAAAATTAAAAATAAACTATTCGTATTCCGTAACAACGAAAAAGCATTTTAGCAATTAATTTTAATTTTTCATAATTATTCTTATCAAGCTGCTAAATACCTTCCCAATATATAAGGGTTATCTAATTGTGTATGGCGTAAATAATGGGTTAAAAATTAAAATTTTGTATGTTTTTAAATTATTAAGGGCCCATTTTTTCATTTTAGAACAGGGCCCCCGAAATCATTGCAACGGCCCTGCTGGACATACATATTAAGGGGTATAAGAGACATTTTGCATGAAATTCATCCATCTCTCTCCTCCTTTCTCTCACCTCTATGTGCTGAATTTAAGTGTACCACTGGGTAATTAATAGTATCACTAGATGATCAAATAGTATCATTGAACATTCAGTATATATTCATTCAATGGTACTGTATATTCATTCAGTGTTACTAAGTACGTGTAGAAATAATATCAGTACATAGTGAATGATATTATATAAGCTTTCAGTGTACATTTAAAAATAGTCACACGTGCTCATCTCTCTCCTCGTTTTCTCTCACCCCCATGTGCTTTACATACTTTTCAATATTTTTAGGTTTGATATGTATTTGCAAATACATATCAAACCTACATTAGTACTTCCTCGTAGAATTCTATCTAATTGCATGATCATGAATAGAGGTGTCAAATTAGGGTGTGTGGATTGGAATAAAATGAATTCAATTAAGTCAAGTTTAGTTTAAGTTTGACTTATACTAAATTATTATGTATGTATCAGTCAAAAGTTGAACGAGTTGTTTTTAAATCGGTTCCGATTAGTTTTTAACACAAATAATCAAGTTTTACATTAATGAATTTGTAAAAGATATAAATTCCAGTCAATTTTTTTAGAAGATGTGCAAGTTTGGCAATATGTCAATAATGACTCAAAAGTGAACAAATAAGGATTTCAAATAAAAAACAATGAACGAATAAGATTTAAAACCATAAAAACTTAAAAAGGTATGGTAAAGTCAAATTAGTTAGAGGGGTAAAGATTGTGTTTTTGTTTTTTTTTTTTTAAATTTTATTTTTATTATCAATTTATTTCAATTATCTTTAAAATATAAGTCCTCCCTCCGTTCTTTAATAATGGACACATTTAGAGTTTTATCATCATTCATATACTAACTTTGGTTTTTTTTTTTTTTTTTTTAAAAAAAAAAATTATTATTAATGTATGAAAAACAATTAGTTCGTGTAAAATATTTTTAAATAGATATTAATGTGATGTTAATAATGTTCAATTGCATATATAGATGGTCATACTCACATGTATTAATTTTAACCGTGTCAGTTATCATGAAATAGTGGAAATATTTTATGTTTCCAAGAGGTTGTCCTCTATAATTTTAGTACAATTTTGTAACAAAAATATCACTCGCCACTCATTGTAATTTTCTTTTTACAATAAGGTCTTGTTCTTTTGAGTTGTTGTTCTCTGCTCATCTTCTGAAATCTGCTTGGCTCTGCAGTGTGTGGAAGCCCTACTTTGCTCTATTGAAATCTTCTATGCTCTGCTGAAATTTACTGTGCTCTGCTCTGTCGTATTTGAAAATTAAAACTTTAGAGGAATTTAATTAGATCTAGCTCACACTCTCACATGGTCATATTGTATATTATATAATTATATTAAATTTCATTTACATTATTAAAGTTGAGACAAAGCCTCTTTTTATTGTTAGAAGGATGTAAGGGATATGAATATAAGATTTAATTATAGATTATATATAGTGGTGTTAAAAATTGACCTGATTTCAATGTGAACCAATCCATAAAACACTCGATTGTAATTTCGACTTATATGTATACATCAATTTAGCGTGATTTAAATTTTTAATAAACTCGCCCCATATAAATTAACCCGATTTAGACACTCCAATTGACACATATAAAATGTACTCCATAAGTCTTTAGTTTGATGGGTTGTAATAAAGACATAAAGTACAATAAATAAATCATAAAACACAAGAAATGATGTGGACCAACCCACAAGTGTTGTTGCAAGTCTTGCAACAAAGAATATTTAGAGGAAGATAGAAGTGATTGGCTGTATGTAGGACATATTCAAAAGTTAAAAGTACAAAAGGACATTCAAAAAAGAATTTACAATTGTTAGATTGGTATCTTATTCTTAATACGGACAAATTTTTTAGGGAAATTGAAGTGGACTAAACATTCTAATAAGGACTAGAGTTTAAAACACTTGTTACTAGTTCAAAAAAGATTTCTATTTAATTGCTATGCTTAATACGGACATATTTTTCTCTCCTTTGCTGAATTCATGGAAAAGTGCATTATCGTCTAATCGTCGTGATAATGCACTAATTATCTATTTGCAAGATGCTGTAGAGAACTATAGTGTTGTGCATCATCATTTTGCTTTTAGTTCCATGTCATGTTTTTTTAGATTAGATTAGATTGATCATTTGATATTAGCTTTATAATTATTATAATTACTACTTATTACAAATCATGTTATGAGAGGAAGTGTAAATTAAACACAATATCTATCATGAGAGGAAGTGTAAATTAACACAATATCTATTAAATTGGATTCAATATATTATACTTCCTTCTCTTTTTATAATCTCAACGTTAGGAATTTCATCACGCTTGTCAATGCATAATTTATAATTTGACTTGAATATCATAAGTTGTATTGTTGTAAAAATTATAATAAGTTGATATTATTGTGAAAGTGTATTGTAAGATGAATATAATAAGATTCTACATAACTATAGTTTTTATAACATATAAATCACAAAAGACAATTAATTAAAGGAGTGTGTATGAACAGTATAAAATTCCAAATATTGCAATTATTAAAATAAAAGAAGTATCTAATGTATTGTACTAAAGATGAAAAATGTTATGTTCACCACTTTAAAATTAAGAGGGAATCAAAGTCTCTTTAGTTTAAAGAAGGTAAAGCTTATCAACTACTCAAATATATAACTAAAAAACCAGAAGCTAGCTTGTTTGTTAAAAAAGAAATTAAAGGTGATGAACAAAAGCTACATAACAATGCAAGTAGTAATAGTTAAGGAATTACGTATTATAAAATGTACGTGGACGTGAAACCATATTTAGAAAATAGCAAAAACACTCAAAAAAAATAAAAAGAGAGGCAAAAGTAGTAAGTTAAATTATTAGTGTTATTACTAATGGATAGTGTGCTTTACAATGCCGCAACATTAGGTAATGTAAGCTTCCTAAATGATGCACGAAACAACGAACTAGAGAGTGGTACTGATGAGTATTTTCTAAAGCAAACCAAGCACAAAAATAACATCCTTCACTTAGCAATTCCACGAAAACATTTCGAGTTTGTAGAAGAAGTGATTTTAAATGGCTTAATATCTAAACAAGCCAGTGATGAGTTGTTCGAGCAAGCGAACAAAGACGGAAACACCCCTGTCCATGTTGCCGCTGAGGTCGGCAACATGGACATGTTTAAGCTACTTCATGATTATGTATGTGGGCAGACTGTCCAAAAGGAAGGGAAGCCGGTGTTCATGATGCAGAATATAGAGGGCAACACACCATTACATGTTGCACTTATTCATGCCAATGTTGAGATTGCTAAATTGTTAATAGAGACGCATCCCGACTTAGTCTATGTTACCAACACGTCTAAAGAGACTCCCCTTCACCTTGCAACTATGCACCAACCTATTGGTAAGTATGAATTTCAAGTGTATTTTATTTTGAGGATTGAGGCCTGGGTCATTTAGTTGGGGGTATTCATTTAATGGGAAAGAGAAATAATTGCCCCTATTCCCTTGTTTTGATGCTGTTTGTTAGGCATTTTTTTTCGTTCCCTTCACCTTCCCCATTTCCCCAAATTAAAGTCTTCTAAATTGATTCTCCGCCTCTTTAGGTTTTTTCCATTCCATTTCCTTAGCCACCATACCCAAACTACACCATACCACCACTCTCCTAAACCTTACTCCCACCACTGAGCCGTCTCATAACCCCTCCCCCGAAAAGCCCCTAGAAACCTCTCTGAATAAAAATTTTATTTCCCATCCCCCACTCTCGAGGGTTTTGAAGATGGGGGGAGGGGCGGCCCGTGGGAAACCAGGGGAAGGGGTTCTAGGTTTTTACGAGGGTGGGAGAAGCTTTTCGGGGTAGGGGAGGGTTTTTTTTTTTTTTTTGGGGGGGGGGGGGGGAGGGTGGGAGGGTGATGTATCGCATTAAATAGTAATTTATTTATGGCATATATTTTAAAAAATTTCGCACGCATCACATGCATACAATACTAAGCTAGTTAATATTATACTAAGCCTATTTGAATTATACTAAGTAAGCTAGTAAATATCGCATGCATGAATAATGTGTTGTCAATTTTACCCTTCAAAATGATGTGCATTTACATGTTAACCCTCAATTATATGTACATCTATTTATTTTGCATTTATTAAAGTTAATTGTTTTTCCCTTTATTAATGAATAATTGTCTTTTTTAAAACTATTAAGAATAATGTGCGAATAATTATTCCCCTAAAATATTTATTTACTCCCTACGTCCCCTTTTGATAGTCCCTTATGGACAAATTTTAGTCCCAAAATATTCACCCCATTTGCTTTACCATTAATATTAATTTTTTACCAAAATTTCCTTCAATTTGCAACAATATTTGTTCAAATTCAACTTTCTCTTGTAAATTTTGTTTTCCCTTGTATTTTTATTATTTTCTCTCTCTACTTTTTTGCATACCCAATGTCAATTTACGTTTTTAATGTACTTTAACTAATCTTATTTGTGTTTATTAATTCCAGTGAAAAATGCTCATAAGGGACTATCAAAAAGGGACGGAGAGAGTACATGTTTTTTTCTCATTAATATAGCCAACAACTAAAAAAAGCTACCGAACATGACTAGTTATAGCGCGAGCATCGCGCGTGTTAGCTTCCCTAGTTTCATAAAAATTATTATCAATATTTTCATAAATGATGAAGTCAATTATTTTATTAGCCTTTGATTTGTATAATTTGTTAATATCTGCATGCTTTATAACTAATCAACAGATGTACTAATGAAGGACAAAAAAGTTGCAAGTTTAGCATATCTTGACATGATAAAAGTTTTGCTAGAGAAAGATAGTAGTATCTCATGCATGGGCGATACAACATAATCAACTCCTCTTCATAGGGCAGCATCAATTGTTAAACTCACAAGAAATTTAGGAGAAAAGGGCTTAATGAGCCTTTACCATTAAACACATATATATAGGCTTACAACATTAACCTAACATGTCAAAAACTCCTAACAAGATATATACAAATATATTCACAAAATATATCTTACTTAACATAATTATATCCTAACACTCCCCCTCAAGTTGGAGCATGTAAATCACGAATGCCCAACTTGTTAAGAAGAAAACCAAATTGTCGCTTCCCAAGTGCCTTCGTCAAAATATCTGCTAACTCATGACCTGTAGGCGCAGTAGCTAAATTACCATTCACCAACTCATCACGAACAAAGTGACAATCTGCCTCTATGCTTAGTACGATCATGAAAAACAGGATTTTTAGCAATATGGAGAGCAGATTGACTGTCATAATACAACTTCATAGGCTTGGGATGCAAAATACCAAGAGATGACAACAAAGATTTCAACCACTTTAATTCACAAGTTGTAACGGCCATAGCACGATACTCAGCTTCAGCAGAAGAACGAGAACTGTCGGTTGTTTCTTAGTCTTCCACGAGACAAGGGAACGACCAAGAAAAACCATATAACCAAACAAAGAACGACGAGTCAAAGGACATGCTGCCCAATCACTATCACAAAAAATCGTTAAACACATGTCCTTCATAGGACGCAACAATATACCCTGACCAGGACTTCCTTTGATATAGCGAAGTACCCTGATTGCCGCATCCCAATGTTGCACCTGAGGGTTACTCAAAAACTGTGCAAGAGTATGAACAGAATAACTCAACTCTGGACGAGTGACAGATAAATAAACAAGCCACCCAACTAAGCGACGATACTGATCAGGTTGAGAGAATGGCTCCCCCTCGGCATATGCCAGACGATGGTTTTGCTCCATAGGTGTATCAATAGGCTTACAGCCTAACATTCCTGCTTCGGATAACACATCCAAAGCATATTTACGCTCTGATAAAAATATACCTTCCGGACCACGAGCAACTTCAATGCCCAAAAAATACTTCAACACGCCAAGATCTTTCATATGAAAGCAAGAACTCAAATAATCTTTAAAACGAGTAATTGCGTCATGAGAAGAACCCGCAATAATCAGATCATCAACATACACAAGAACATGCAGAGAGATTTTACCCTGAATATAACTGAACAAAGAATAATCTGCATATGATTGTTTGAAACCATAAGACTTCAAGGCATTAGACAACTTAGCAAACCACTGTCGAGGAGCCTGTTTCAAACCATACAGAGACTTACGCAACCTGCAAACTTTTCCTGGAGTAGAACAATTATAACCTGGAGGAAGCTGCATATACACTTCCTCCTCCAAATCTCCATGAAGAAAGGTATTATGAACATCCATTTGATGCAACTCCCAATTTAAAGAAGCAGTAACAGAAAGAAAAAGTCTAATAGTCCCCATTTTTGCTACAGGGGCAAAAGTTTCATTATAATCAACACCTGCAACCTGACGATTTCCATACACAACAAGACGACCTTTAAGTCGCTCTACTTCACCCTTAGATGTATATTTAATTTTATACACCCAGCCACAACCAATAGCTTTCTTACCTGGGGGTAGGTCTTCCAATGTCCACGTACCATTTCTTTCGAGTGCATCAATTTCGTCTTTCATTGCCTTACGCCACCCTTCATGTTTCATAGCTTCACTAAATGAGGAAGGCTCCTTTCCCTTTGTAACTGCTGTCAGAAAGCATTTATGTCTCATAGAAAAATTGTTATAATCAACATAACAAGCTATATCGAATTGTTTACCTGAAGAACGTGATGGAGGAGCGGGAGAAATACTGTTTGTCGAGGAAGTGGGGTCTATTTTCTGATGAACCACCGTATTAGTCACAAAACCACGAAGCTTCGAAGAGGAAAATTTAGTAAGATGACCACGACCTAACTCAACATCAGAAGCAGAATTATTGTCCACCTGCTCACCACTAGTAGACAACTCCCCCTCAAAACAGTAGGAGCATTAGCATTAGCACCTGATGATGACACATTACTAGCACCAATCACCTCTGCATCATCATTAATATTCCTTAAAGTAGCTACTCCTAAATTGCCATTACTCAAATTAGGAGCAACTTCATGCAACGTGTCTGCATTACTAATACGACCAGTGGGGTCAACCCCATGCACATGCATTTCTTCAACATAATCCTCATCATCCAACAACTGAATTTGATTAAAATAATTCTCCCACTGTATTTTTTCTAACTCATTAAATGACTCAATAAAAGGAAATTTGTCCTCAATAAATTGCACATCACGACTTATAAAAAATTCACGAGTCTCTAAATCATAAAACCTCCACCCTTTTTTACCATATGGATAACCAACAAATATACAACGACGAGACTTTGAATCAAATTTATCTTTACCACGAGAATTATTCACAACATAACTCAAACACCCAAAAACACGCACTTCATCATAAGAGGGGGGTTTCCCAAACAAACATTCATGAGGCGTCTTGCCTTTTAAAATAGGAGTCGGGGTTAAATTAATAAGATGAACCGCAGCCAAAACACATTCTCCCCAAAAATATTTTGGTAATTTAGCTTGAAAACGTAAAACCCGAGCAACATTTAAAATATGCTTATGTTTCCTTTCAACACGACCATTTTGTTGAGCGGTATCTACACACAAAGTTTGATGTACTATGCCTTTTTTTTCAAAGAAAGGTTTCAAACTCAAGAACTCTTGTCCATTATCACTCCGTAACACTTTAATCTTTTTATTAAATTGGGTTTTGATTAAAGCATAAAAGTCACGAATTAATTTATCTACTTCATACTTTCCAACCATCAAATAAACCCAAGTAGCACGAGAAAAATCGTCGACAATAGTAAGGAAATATTTAGCATTACAACTCGATGATACTCTACTTGGACCCCAAATATCACAATGTATCAAATCAAATAAACCAGATGCTTTATTCATACTTAAAGGAAAAGAGTTACGGGGTTGTTTACCCATAAAACAAATATGACAATCAAACACACCACACTTTTTATTCTTACTACTACTAACTACTCCAAGTAAAGATAAAACAACTTTCATCGAAGGATGGCCTAAACGCCTATGCCACAACATACTTGCATCTGGGATTGCTACTGAATTTGCTTGAAAATTATGAGCACAAACCGGCCGAAAGAGATAGACCCCATTATACAGCACACCCGCTCCAATCAGGTTCTCCAAAGTGCGGTCCTGAATAGTACATAGCTTGTTAGTGAAAAGAACAATAAATTGTTGTTTTTCTAATAATTGAGACACTGACAACAAGTTACATTTTAATTCCGGAACAAATAAAATATCTTCTAAAATTAAACCATCACTTAATTTTATTTTTCCTTCTTTAATGGTCGTAGTACTTTTTCCGTTAGGCAAACCAACGGGAGATAAAATATCACACAAATCAAAAAATAAATTCAAATCACCAGACATATGATTTGATGCTCTGGTATCAATTATCCACTCATTCGAACTATACATACCAAGAGAAGTCTGATCAGAAGAGAATTAGTGGGCTTTGCACTTTTAATTGCACTCATAAATTGCTGCCACTGTTCATCAGTCAAAGTAGCAGCAGAGCCACGATCATTGTCATTAACATCTTGTGAACCTGACTGTCGGGAACCATTCACATTCGCAGCAAAACCACGGCCACCAGAATCTGTTGTACGTCCACCACGGCTGCCGCGGCCACCCCCACGGCCAGACCTGCCACCACGCTGACCACCGCGCCCACCAGAATTGAAGGAATCGGGCCAACCATGTAAGTCATAACACTTCTCCTTTACATGCCCCTTTTTACCACAATGGTCACACATACGAACATCACCAGCACTCGACCAATTTGTCCGACCTTGAGCCGAACCAGACGCAGCAAACCCAACATCACTCTCCGGACGATTATCATGAGCATCTGAGACGGTTTGCTTGCGTTCATCAGAGACAACCTTCGCATACGCCACATTGAGTGAGGGAACAGGATCCATCATTAGCAAAGTCGACACAACACTACCAAATTTTTTCGAATCTAAACCAATACAAAATTGGTGAAGCAACTCACTCTCAATGATCTTTGCATACTCGGGGGCAGCAGTACAAGAACACTTGGGAATTTTACAATAACTAGCCAATTCATCCTGCAACTTACGCAATTCTCCAAAATAAACGGCTACCGGCCTTCCACGTTGCTTGCAATCAACAATTTGCGCCTTTAACTCAAGAATACGAGGACCATTGCCAAGAGAATATCTATCACGTAGATCATCCCACAAGGATTTGACATGGTCGGGAAAACGAACAGTAGAACGCACCGAAACATCCAAGGTATTCACAATCCAAGCAACGAGCATCGAGTTAACAATACCCCATTGATCATAATCTGGAGAAGTTTTATCCGGCACGACAATAATCCCATCAATAAAACCAAGCTTGTTCTTAGCACGGAGATTATTACGCAAAGAACGAGACCACTCCTCATAATTATCTCCCTTCAACATAATAGGACTGATAACCGCACCCGTACCTTCACTCGGATGAAGGTAATACGCAGAAAAAGGCTCATAACGAGGACCCTTAGGAGGCGGAGGCGAAGTTTCACCACCAGTCATCACACCGAAACTAAAGATACAGAACACACAAAGAAAGCGGAAGCACACGAACCAGGAATGCACACAAATTGAAACAAGAAGAAACTAGGGTTTGTGTTTGGGAAAAATCAGGGAAGAACGTAAAAAAAATCTCTAAATTAGAGGGCTCTTGATACCATGTTAAACTCACAAGAAATTTAGGAGAAAACGGCTTAATGAGCCTTTACCATTAAACACATATATATAGGCTTACAACATTAACCTAACATGCCA